ACTGAGGGGCGGATCCTGTCCATTCTGTGCAGTCCCACAGCTCTGTGTGCACCCCGCGGGCAAGGGCAGGCAGCGCAGTCCCGCAGCTCTGTGTGCACCCCGCGGGCGAGGGCAGGCAGCGCAGTCCCGCAGCTCTGTGTGCACCCTGTGCGCTAGGGCAGGCAGTACAGTCCTGCAGGCCTGTGTGTAACCCAACCATTTACTGTGTGGCCTTGGACCAGCCAGTACCCCTCTCTGATGCTCAGTTTTCTGATACATGGGCGTGCCCTTTGTGTGAACCCTATTCATCACTGCTGCCACTGTCAGTGTGCTTGCCCGGGCTGTGGAGAGGAGCTGACTCCCTTAAGCCTGGGAGTAGCTGGAGGGTATGTCTGTGTGTCAGGGGCCTCTGTTGCTGGGGTTTGGCCCTGGGGTCCGGGCAGCAGCATGGCCCCCACTGTCCTTCCCAGGTGCTGGTGAGGCTGCTGTAACAAGCGCATGGTTGGTTGTATTCTCTGCCCCTGCAGGGGGTTGGCACTGATGAAGCCTGCCTGATTGAGATCCTCGCTTCCCGCAGCAATGAGCACATCCGAGAATTAAACAGAGCCTACAAAGCAGGTGACACCACTCCCTCTGCCCTCTTCCCTCTGCCCTCTGCAGATCTCTGTGCTCTTGGGGCTATGGCCACACTCTCTCCTAGGGCCTCTTACTCCTTCCTGGCCTTCTTCTCAACCTATCTTCTGCCACCCCCAACACACGGGGCTTTGACCCAAGACCCAGCCCTTCCTTCTGTGTATACATGGTGCAAATGACTAAAGTAAGGGAGCGCCAGGGGAAACCTGGATGTGGTTTGGGCCGGGCTGACTAGAGCCCAGGTCAGCGTGGAGGTCACAGGCTTGTATATCCCTGGAGGGCCATGTGGGCTGTTTGCTCTCTCGAGCCTGAGCCGAGACCTCCAGCCTTATTCTCCCCACTACAGTGTTTTGCAATGGGCAGCTCCATAAACAGAGCTACAGGGTGGACTTTCCTTGCTTCTCCCTTTCAGAATTCAAAAAGACCCTGGAAGAGGCCATTCGAAGCGACACATCAGGGCACTTCCAGCGGCTCCTCATCTCTCTCTCTCAGGTACTTTTCCCATGACAGGGCTCGGGGCTCCCAAGCCATGGAAGTCAAAGAGATGGGATCTCAGCAATGAGGAAAGGGAAAAGAAATGGGGAAGGAGTGGGCTTGACCATACACCTGCTTCCTTTCAGGGAAACCGTGATGAAAGCACAAATGTGGACATGTCCCTCGCCCAGAGAGATGCCCAGGTGAGTGTGATGGCCAAGCCCCTGGACTTCCTAAAGCAGGGTGTACCTCGCTTTCTTGCTTCCTGAGAGAGGTGCCCTAGGGTGGAAAGAACAATAGATAAGCAGTGGGTTGCAGATGCCGCGAGTTTCAGACGTGCTGAACTGCTCAACTGTATGACCTAGAGCAGGTCGTCTGACCTCCTGGGCTTCACCTTCCCCACCTACGGGAAGGAACATGTGAGATAATTAGTATTTCAGCAGTTGATAGATCACGGTTTTGGATGTGGGATTTCGTGCGACTGCGTACTTTCCCCATGTTTAGTTGCACATACCATTGTTTGCAAAGGGGCAGAATTTGCACTTGCCTATTAGTTTTTTGAGGGTTTGAGCCTAGAAACCAGCTGCCACATTAGTTGAGCAGCCTTAGAATTCTGTTGTTGTCCACCTTGTGAGTTGCAGACAAAAGGGGAAAAGTCCAAGCAAAGTCCAGGCATCGGAGCTACTCTCTCAAAAAGTTTGGGTTTCCCACTAATGAATTTCAACTGTAGTGTTATGGCAGGGCAGAGCCATGACTTCCTGATGGGGCAGAGTTAGCCATACCTCTCTGTCCCCCTTCACTGCCCTTGTCATCCATGGCAGGGCATTCACCAGGAGCTGCCAGTGGTCTAATTATCTCTACCATCTGCGGGTTTGGAATGAGACCCCAAGGAGTGCCCCCTTGTTAGGACTGGAGGAGAGCTACTCCTCTGGACTGGTCCTTTTGCTTTCCAGATGAGGAAACTGAGGCTCAAAAAAGTTGAGCACTGTTCCTAACTGAAAGCTAGAGGCAGAGCCCGGACAAGGGCCTATACCCCTGGCTCGGTCCTCCGTGCCCAGTTAGCACCTGCCTCTGCCCTGGTCTCTGCCCTGCTGCTCCTGCAGGGGTCTGCCTTATTCAGTGTCTCTCTGGCTGGTGACATCCATTCCCATTCTGGGAGTCAGAGCTGGACACCCCTGGGGCTCAGGGCTCTGGCTTTTGCTCCAGCGAGAGTTTTGCATGCCAGTTTTAGCGGGGCAGAAATTGTCTCGTGCTCTGCCTTCTCAGTCCAGACCTGCTTTGGCGTCATCTTGACCTGTGGGATCTCAGCCCCTGATTGCTGCTTTCTGCTCTTTTTCAGGGCTGCTACCTGAGGCCTAGCAGGCACATTAGAGGCCATCTAGTTTTGCAAATTGGCAAATACTTTAGGCTCAAACCTTCAGAAGTTTACCAGGCTCTCCTGGGTGACCTGGGCCTGGGATCTGGGTGTGGCCTGTGCCGCATGTACATCTTCCTCTCTCTCCAGGAACTCTATGCGGCCGGGGAGAACCGCCTGGGAACAGACGAGTCCAAGTTCAATGCAGTTCTGTGCTCCCGGAGCCGGGCCCACCTGGTGGCAGGTAAGTCAGGCCAGGGTCCCCCTGAGGCCAGTTAGTTGAGGGCAGTCGGGATTGTGGGGAAACAAAGCTATGGGAACACTTGGCAGTTCCTCCCTGCATGGGGCTTTCGCCTCCTCAAAAAAGCCCCCTGGTGGGGATTTAAAAGACACTGTCAGAGGGTTTCCTGAGTTCTGCAAACATCCAGTTCTGGAGGTTCCACCGGTGTAGAAACTTGGTATCTTCGTACGTGGGAATGTGGAATGTCAGAGTTGGGAGAGTCCTTCGGGAGCACCCAATCCAGTGTTTTCCAAAGCCTGGCATAAGAAGCAGTGATAGCAATAATACTGGGTGCCATTCATTTACTCATTCATTCAACAGATGTAAATCTCACTTCCCTATGGGTCAGTCCATCAGGTGGTGGAGCAGGTGTGGGGCCACGGTGGGGGGCAGGGCACTGCAGAGTCTGTGTTCCATGGGCTGCACCTTCTCATTTGGGGAGACAGACAGTAAACAGCAATGAAATCAAATCTGTATCAGATAGTAACTTCTGTAGAAAAAAACAGCTGGAAACAGGTAGGGAGTGATGGTAGGGTCCACCAGGAGGTGCTTGGGCCAGTCCCCACTGAGGTCAGGACATTTGATTTAAAAACCTAAAGGAGATGCAGGGGCAGAGGCCTGCCTGGGCCTCCCAGCACGACTGAGAACAGTGAAGGGGGACCATGTGGAGCAGTGGAGTGAGCGAGAGGAGTGGAAGATGAGGGCAGAGAGGGGAGAGGGCCCTGCTGATGACTTCCTGGAGTTGGGTATTTATCCTGAGCAAAATAGGAAGCCAATGGAGGGCTCTGAGCAGAGGAGGCTATGCAGAATCCCTGGCTGTGGTGCGGAGAATGGAGTGAAGGGTGCAAGGCCAAGCAGCGAAGCCTATCGGGAGGCTGCTGCAGGGACCCAGGGAAGGAACGGTGGTGGTAGGGGCTTGTGGTGAGGAGGTGTCAGGTTCTGGCCATGTTAGCTGATGAATTGGACACGTGGCGTGTGGGGGAGAGAGGGGTTGAGGATTACACAGGGTTTCTTTAGGGCAAGCAGTGGGAGAATGGCCCTCAACTGAGACAGGGGCAACTGTAGGTGGAGCTGGCTTTAGGTGCCTGCAGGGTGGAGCTGCAGGGAGGCTGCTGGGTTGCTGAGTGTGGAGGTCAGAAGAGGTCTGGCCTGGACATGAAAGGTAAGGGAACTGTGAGTAATCGAAGGTATCCGAGGCTCTGGGACTGCAGGAGGTCCCCTCGGGAGGGAGACTGGGGAGCCCACCTGTGTGAGGAGACTAAGAAGGAGCCGCTAGGGAGGTAGGAGGACCCAGAGGAAGGGGGTCCTAGAGGCCAGTGTGAGGTGGCAGGCAAGGACAGAGGATGGTGACCACACTGAGCAACTGGTGGGCTGTGGCCAGGGCTGCTCCAATGGGCAGTGAGGATGAAAACCCAGCAACTGCTCTGTGCTGCACACAACAGGCACTGTAGCTCTCCCCATTTGCAGCTGTGGAAGCAGGCACAAGGTGGTAGGGAAGTGGGGGTGCACAGCTAGTAACAGCTGAGCTGGGATTTGAACCCAGGCCACCCGACCCCAGAGCACACTTTTTAACCTCTGCACTATCCTGTAATGGAGCCTGAGTGAATGCATTTTCATCTTAATCATTATTTCTTTTAATGAGTACAGAACATGTAAGTAGTGCATCAAGCCCATGGCTTCACAAACATTACTTAGGAGAAAAGAGGAGCTGATTTGAAGAAGATATTGAGATAGATACAGATAGAGCAGAAATCAGGACTTTAATATGCAAATGGAAGCTGAGACTCAGGCTGGGGAAGGAGAGTTTTATGTCCTGGGTCAGAGCTGGAGTCAGGACCCAGGTTTCCATCATGCTGCCTGCCTCTCTAGGAGCCAGCCGTCCACTCCCATGGGTGCTTTGCGTGTCCTAGATCGAGCTGGGCTGGCAGGGGTGGGCAGAAAAAGCCAGATTGGCTGGGGCAGGCTGGGCCTCAGCTCCCAGGCAGGCTGAGGAAGACAGATGGATGCATGAATAAAGCCAAGGAATGGCAGAGACTGCAGGTGTGGGGGATTTGAGAAGAGGGGACACTGTGTTGGGGTGCGTGGGAGTGGGCCCTGGAGGGGTGTTAAGGTGCGATTTGCTTAAGTAGATTGGCAGTCCTGAGAAAAGGACCACACAGAGAGGGACATCAGGTGGTATGTGTGACTTGTGATGAAATCTCTGGCTTCCTTGAGCGCTAGGCAGGCCTGGGGACGTGCAGGGTGTGGGAGCAGAGTGGGAGGCGGGGGATTTGGGGGCAGAGGCCACCTCACGTGAGTCCTCTGTTAGTCTGCTCATGCTGCCATGACAAAACACCACAAACTGGGTGGCTTAAGCAACAGACGTTCATTTTGTTGCAGTTCTGAAGGCCGAATGTCCTAGAGTGGGGCGCCGGTTTCTCCGTGGCCTCTTCGTGGCAATCAGTGTGCTCACAGGGTCTTCCCTCTGCATGTGCACATCCCTGAGGTCTCTGTGTGTCCTAATCTCTTCTTCTAAGGAGACCAGGCGGATTGGATTAGGGTACACCCTAGCAGCATGTTTTAACTTAATTACCTCTTTAAAAATCTTATCTCCAACTACGGTTGTATTCTGAAGTCCTGGGAGTTGGGACTTCCACATATGAACTTTGAGGAGACACATTTCAGTTCATAAAATAAGCCTCTGTCATCCCCCTAGTTTTCAATGAGTACCAGAGAATGACAGGCCGGGACATTGAGAAGAGCATCTGCCGCGAGATGTCCGGGGATCTGGAGCAGGGCATGCTGGCTGTGGGTAAGTGTCTCAGGTTTGCCTGCCCACCGTCCAGGGGCTAACGTGTCGTAAGTGTTCAGGCTGTTCGCCTGTCCTCCAGCTGATGGGTGACATCGTGAAAGGACCACAGGATCCAAGATCACTCAACCCAGAGTGTCCAGATGCTGGGAAGTCATGCCGCTTCCCGGGTCCCTGTGCAGTTGAACCCCTAGCTGTCCTGGAGGTGTCTTGTGTGTGTTTGTGGTGCAGCTCTGGAGAAGGGAACTGCAGTGTGGGTATTAGTGGGAGGGCATCCAGCTGCTCTCCCGGAGAAGTATGACTCATATCCTGCCAAGTTTCCTCTAAAAATACATCCCTGCAGGCAGTTGTCAGATGTTTGTGATGGAAACACGTGGAAAGATTTTTACTTGCAACAGCGAAACAGGCCCATGCTGAGGAAAGCTGGCTTGGCTCCGGGATGGTAGTGTGCCTCTTACATTGCCCATGTCCTCTAGCAGGGCCCGGTGGGCTCCAGGTCCCTCCCACTGTGCGGAGTTGGGTCCCCGCCCTGAGGCCCTCACAACCCCTCTTTCTACTCACCTGGGAAAATCAGTCTGCCCCTTTTTTCATTATGCTTTTTTTTAGAGTTTTCTGGATGGGAGAAATGGAAAATCCTCATTTCCCTGCCTGCCCCCCACAGTAGGTCTCGTGACCTGGGAAGCCTAGGGAGATGCGCATTCCACTCGGCCACAGTTTCTCCATGAGGGTCATGGCCTCTCCAGTCTGCCCCTCCTGCCTGAGCAGCAGCGCAGTTCCTCGTCACCATCTGCAGCTCCTTGCCCCACTAAGACCCCCGCCCCTCTGACTCTTGGTCCTTTCATCACGGTGGTTGCCAGGAAAGAGGGTGGGTTGGTGTCCAGACTCTGCGTGTTTCTGTTCCGAAGAGCTGGAGCCAAGATCATGGGATAGTTGAGCCTGGAACAGAAGGAAGAGGAGAAAAGATGGATGCAGTGATGGATTTGACATCTGGGCCTCTAAGAGGACACTTGTAGACTCCATGCCCTTCTTGGGCTGAAAATTTTCTGCAGATCTGGTTATGCTGAGTTTCTCTCTTCTAGTGAAATGTCTCAAGAACACCCCAGCCTTCTTTGCGGAGAGGCTCAACAAAGCCATGAGGGTATGTAACTTCCATGTGCAGGTTGCGATACCTTAGCCCTGCTTGTGCCTAGGTCCAAGGGCTGAGGGTAGAAGGCCTGGGGAGAGCCAAATCTCAGCCGAGAGTTCTGAGGACTTGGGTAGGGAGGGGACTGGAAGGCCCAGGGCGGGTGGGCAGGTGAGGAGGCCTGGTGCTCATGCTCTTGGGGGGACTCTCTTTAGGGGGCAGGAACAAAGGACCGGACCCTGATTCGCATCATGGTGTCTCGCAGTGAGACTGACCTCCTGGACATCAGATCGGAGTATAAGCGGATGTACGGCAAGTCGCTGTACCACGACATCTCGGTATGGCCCTGCTGCAGGCAGACTGGGCTCCCTTTTGGCATCCCAGTCACCTGTGGAACCTCCCTCCTTAGAGTGGCCGTATGCTTGGCCTCTGTGCTGTGTGTGGGCATCTTGTTTATGGACCTCAGACTTGCTCATCCCGTTGCCACTAAACTTCTGAGGGCAGGTGGGTCATGACCTTGCTGTCATCCCCACCTTGCATCCCCCAGCAGCATCAGAGAACACTCGGGACCTCCTCAACCTTGACCACGACCTTCAGCGTCCCAACCACCCTGTGATTCCTTGAGCTGTCAGTGAGAACTCATGTCCCAAAGGCTCTGTGGAGCTCTGCTCTCACTTGCTGACAAAGCACTTCTTGCACTCAGCTTTATGGCATAGGCCACATAGTAAGGCTGTTCAGAGCGAAGGCCGTGGGGGTCACGCCACTTGGAGTCCAGCTTTTCTACTTGCTAACTGTGTGACCTTGAACAGCTTCCTTAAACCTCCCTGAACCCCAGCTCCATTGTCTTTAAGATGAGAAAATAATTGTTCCTTCCCAGGAATGTTGTGAGTATTGAGTGAGGCGGTGCAGGTCAGGTGTCTATTAAACACTAGCCACTCTTGCATCGCTGTGCGGCAGAGCCAGTCTGACAAAATACATTCTCAGCTACATGGTCTAACACTCAAATTCTGATCTCATGCGAGCCTTGAAATTGCACTATGGGGACCACATCCTCCCACCTTAGACTCAGTAGCATTTAATGATGGTGGGCATGTCATCACAGGAAGCTTACTTTGTTTCCTTGGCTGTATGAATGAAGCCGTTGCTAGAGAATTAGTAATTCTAGGCTGGGCACAGTGGCTCACGCCTGTAATCCCAGCACTTTGGGAGGCTGAGGCAGGTGGATCACTTGAGGTCAGGAGTTCGAGACCAGCCTGGCCAACATGGTAAAACCCTGTCTCTACTAAAAATACAAAATTAGTTGGGCGTGGTGACCTGTGCCTGTAATCCCAGCTACTCGGGAGGCTGTGGCAGGAGAGTTGTTTGAACCCGGGAGGCAGAGGTTGCAGTGAGCCGGGATCAGGCCATTCCACTGCAGCCTTGGCGACAGAGTGAGACTTCATCGCAAAAAAAAAAAAAAAAAAGGGTTAATAATTCTTTACAGAGTATCTCCTGCGTGCCAGCAGGCTGTGGACATCTGGAAGAAGCCACATGCCTTGCCCTCAAGTTGCTTAGGGTGAAAGGAAATGATTAAAAATGAGCCAAGCCGAGCCTGCACTCTTGGAGTAAGCGTAGTGGCCTCAGACAGAGGAGATCCCTGGGACTGGGAGGTCGGAGCCTTCCACTGGACAGTCATGTGTGAGGAGATTGCGTTTCCTAAGCAGGACACTGTGTTGCGTTACATTGGTAACCCCAATTTAAGGCAGCATAAATGCACTGGGAAAAGAGCAGTATTGGTTAGCCCTGGGAAGTGGTTTTTAGGGTGATTATATATTTTTTTTGTGGATATTCATTTGACTTGGATAGTTGTGGTGAGTGCTGCTTTCCGTCTTCTAATGGGGGCCTGGGGAAGGCTAAATTCCATTTTTTAAGGTCTGTGCCACCTGCTGCACGACCTGCAGCAGGGGAAAATTCCCCAGGATGGGGCTTCCTCCCTATAAGGGTGCTCAGGGCTGAAAATCAGGAGCCAGAAGGCTGAAAGTGACCGTACCTCCCTTAACGGATGTCTTCCTTGTTTCTGTGGCCAGGGAGATACTTCAGGGGATTACCGGAAGATTCTGCTGAAGATCTGTGGTGGCAATGACTGAATGGTGACTGGTGGCTCACTTCTGCCCACCTGCGGGCAACAGTGGTGCCAGGAAAAGGCCAAAAGAATGTCTGTTTCTAACAAATCCACAAATAGCCCCGAGATGCACCGTCCTAGAGCCTAGGCCTGTCCTCCACCCCTCCTGACCTGTATATTGTGCCACAGGACCTGGGTCAGTCTAGAACTCTCTCAGGATGCCTTTTCTACCCCAGCCCTCACAGCCTCTTGCTGCTGAAGTAGATGTTTCATTTTTCTGACTCATGCAATCATTCCCCTTTGCCTGTGGCTAAGACTTGGCTTCATTTCGTCATTTAATTGTGTATTTTTATTTGGAGGCATATTTTCTTTTCTTACGATCATTGCCAGACAGATGCATAGAAGTCTGTTTGCTGCGTACACATTTCTGTTGAGGGCAACTGGTTGGGTGAAGTGCCGTGTCCTCGCTGAGGAGAGAAAGGGAAGCATGCCTGGGAGGGTAGCCTGTGCATCTGGTGAGTGTGTCACAAGCTTTGTTACTGCCAAACTCACTCCTTTTTAGAAAAAAAAAAAAAAAAAAAGGGCCAGAAAGTCATTCGTTCCATCTTCCTTGCAGAAACCACGAGAACAAAGCCAGTTCCCTGTCAGTGACGGGGCTTCTTGTAATTTGTGGAATGTGCCTTAAACCTGAATGTCTGTAGCCAAAACTTGTTTCCACATTAAAAGCCAGCCAGCTCTGGAATGTTCTGGAAGTGTCTTCCTGGTACCAACTTGTTTTCTTCTGCTTGATTATGCCCTGTGGCTCAGAGTTCTCGCCTTATCAGCCAGTGAAAATTCATGTAACCTTAGATAGAGATTTGTGTGCAGGAAACCCTGAGCATACAATAGTTTGCGGGGACTCATTGTAAGGACATGGGAAGGGAGGTTCCCGAAATCCATGCAGGGCACCCAGACACCTGAAAGGCAAAGGGATCTTGGTTGGTTGCAGGTGCAGTGAAGTCCACTGAAGGTGTGGTAGGAAAACTGTAGTCCTTAACCCAGGTCCCAGGCGGGAAGAAGGGTGTGTGCTAATTCCTGGTGCCCCTCGACGGGGGCCAGAGAGAAGGATGGAGACAACCCAGAGAGTCACAAGACCAGCACCTCCCCTCAGGGTGCCTCCAGGCTGAAAGGGGGTCCTGGCTCTGGTCTCTGGGGACCCCGTGCCCCTTGGTTGGTGGTGTGGGGGAGAGAATCCATAAGAGAGTTTCTGAGAATTACAGTGTCATGTCCAGAAGCTAGAGCTTGCCTTGCATCAGGGGTCTCTACTCACTGCTTTTCCAACCTCCTGTGTTGAGGTTTAGAAAAGAGAGAATCGACTAGGCACTGTGGCTCATGCCTGTAATACAAGGACTTTGGGAAGCTGAGGTGAGAGGATCACTTGAGCTCAGGAGTTCAAGACTCGCCTGTCCAACATAGCGAGACCCCTGTCTCTAGTAAAAAATTTGGCCAGGCATGGTGGCTCACGCCTGTAATCCCAGCACTTTGGGAGGCTGAGGTGGGCAGATCACCTGAGGTCAGGAGTTTGAGACCCAGCCTGGCCAACATGGTGAAACCCCGTCTCTATTAAAAATACAAAAATTAGCCAGGCATGGTAGCACATGGTGGCTGTAATCCCAGCTATTCAGGAGGCTGAGGCAGGAGAATCACTTGAACCCAGGAGGCAGAGGTGGTAGTGAGCTGAGATCACACCACTGCACTTTAGCCTGGGTGGACAGAGTGAGACTCCGTCTCAAAAAAAAAAAAAAAGTACCTGTCATTGTAGTGCATTCCCTGTAGTCAGCTACTCTGGAGGCTGAGGCAGGAAGATCCCTAGAGCCCAAGAAATGGAGGCTGTAGTGAGCTGTGGTTACACCACTGCACTCCAGCCTGGACAAAAGAGTGAGACCCTGTCTCAAATGAGAAAAAAACAAAAAGAAATGACAGAATCCAGAGAGACTAGGCTAGATCAAGCCTGCTGGGTCCTGGCAGGAGCCCCAGGGAGTAGCTCATCTGCAGACCTTTGCTTTAGTACTGCCCCTTAAACATAGAGGAAGAATGACATCCAAAGGGTGTGGAGCAGCCATGAGCTGAGAACTAGCCTGGTCTACCTGGGATTGATGGCAGGTCCTGGTCAACACGTCAGATCTGCATCACAGTCCATGCCTGAAGCCCGAGCTGAAGCCCCATCCCTGCTGCCCTCCCAAGAACTCCTCTGCTGGGGCAGGCCCCTTGCCCTTGGGTGCCAGGTGGGACTTGCCTGATGGGATGGGGTGCTTGCCATATACAACTTGCCATGAACTCAAGGTGACCCAGGTGGCCTTCTGAGTTGTGATGGGGCCTAGAACCAATGTGCTCTGATGTGACCATATTCTGTGATGTTGCCTTGCCCTGTTTACTCCAAAGTTCCCAGCCTGGTGCCCAGCAGGCAATTTTGCACTTACAGACACATTTACTTTGGCTTCCAAAGTGTTTTTAGACATTTGAATTTGTTGCCAACATTTAAACATTGAGAGATTTCATATTTTTAAAAATCTGGAATTCTGGCTTCTCTTGAAAACTCAGAAATTCTGGCACCACGGGACTTGCATTCCTACATGGCTAGAGCTGAGTTGCAGCTGCCGCTTTAGGCCTGTACCCCTTATTTACCATAGGTTCCCTCTTGTGTTACACTGAGCCCATGTTACCCATTTGGCTCCTGCAGGCCTTTGGGTTTGAGACCCTGGTCTACACACTTGGGGACCACCTGTTGTACGGTACGTGGATGTGCTTTGGTCAAGAAATAAGACCAAGGTGGACATCCAGGCCAGAGTGACTCAACGAGTTTTGGTCACAGGCGTGTACTCCACTTGTTATGTAACCTGTTTGTGTAAGTTCATACTTGGTTCAAAGCCACTATTGTTTGGAAAAGGTATAACTGCCCTGCTGACGCTGTACAGACGTTCTTGGGCTTGGATGGGCATGGCTGCACATGGCATGCACTGGCACCCAGAGAGTGAAGCTACTGACCACTGTAAGGGAGAGCGACCATCTGGCAGATAGAGGGGAGCCAGGACACGGCTTGGCTTGTGCCCAGATGGGGAGTTAAGCCACTGACCCTGTAGCTGGCCTTGCAGGCCAGGGAGTGCACCTGCAAGCATGGCGGCTGCAGGAGCCGCAGAGCTGGCTGCTGAGAGGAGCCGCAGATCTGGAGAAGACAGCCAAGGTAAAGGTGGACAGTGTGAGAGCTGCTGGTGAGATAGCTGCTGAATAAAACTAACATTTTACCTGCGTACGGCCCGCCAAGTTTTCTTTCAGCTATCGCCCATCCACCCACTCCCCTCGAACCTCAGCATGGGCTGGAACCTGACCCTGGGCGTGACATTTGGTATACTGACACCTCTGTCTGTCCCAGTCCTGGTTCTCCCTGCCTTCCTGTTCCTCTCCCTGCCCTCATGGTCATTCCCAAGGGGTCCAACCCATGTTGAGTATGGGCTAGAGGACTTCATGAATGCCTCATGATCTTTGTAGAGGCAAAGGCACCTCCTGCCTTCCAAGGTCAGTGGGAGGCTGGGATCGACACTGTTTATTATGCTTACGACAAAAAAGATAGGGAGAAAGACATGCAGCCTTACAGGTCATCTTTCTGGGATAGAACACAATGGGTTTTTTCCTGCCTCCTGAATATGTTAGTCAAGGCCAGTTCATGCTACACATCTAATCTGACTTCTAAAATAGCAAGTGGAGGGTGAAGCACTAGATGAATTCAGCCCTGAGAGAATTTTCAGCAGCCGTGGGGGCACTGGAAGAAACACTATTAACTAGTTTTGCACCTGAGACAAATGGCCTCGCTCGCCTCCCCTAGTCCTGATGGCATTTGTCTCATGCAAAATTTAAGAAAGAAACTTTGGAGTGCTCACCCTGTGGCTGGGTAGATGATCCCGAAGTGGTGGTTTTCAAGCCTCAGTGTGTATCGCGATCATCAGAGGAGCTTGCTAAAAAAGAGCAGTTTCTGGGGTCAGACCCTCACACATTTTGAGCAGGTGTAGGGGCTGGGAAACTGCGTCTGTAACCCTCTGTAATCTAATGTTTATCTAAATACTACTGTGCTCACACAGAGAACTCCCCAAAAGTCGAGGTGTTCCTCCAGAGGGCAGATGAGCAGATGGCAGACTCTGGAATTCAGTCAGGTCACGATGAGAGATGAGATGAGGCACTCCTAGCTTTGGGAAGAGGGAGCTGAAAGATGAACCTTTGCAGGTGCCCACAGTCAAAGTGGTGGTTTAATGCCATGCCATGCCCATGTTCTGTTGGCCTTGGCAGGGAATTACAGTCCTAGCTTAGGACTTGGCCCCTTATTTCTACTGTAGGCTCTTTCCTGCCCTGGCTGAGATGGAGTGGAATGAGACCTAGAAACAGATCAAGCTAAATGTCCTCAGACAGATAAAGGTTTACATTTTCACCCCCATCAAATCGGAAAGCTCTCTGCCTGTGTTTTTCTAAGGGACAGGGACATCATTACTCAGTCCCCAACCTGGCCTCATATAGGGTCCCCTGTCAGTAAAGGAGTCAGTTAAGCCCACCAGGTATACCAAGGACTCTTACCTTCAGCCCCTGCTCCTTGGAAAGCTGCCTAATATTGGTGTTTAGCCTGAGCCTGACTCCTTCTCAACACTAAGAGCTGATGAAGTCCTGAAGCAGAAAGAGCTCTGACGTGAGAGTCAGGCATCCTTATTCTGATCTCAGCTCAGCTACTGATTTACTGTGACCCTGGAGAAGTCACTTCCCATCTTTCTGACCCTATAAAATGAAGGGTAGACTAGAGGAGAGCTTCTACAACTTTAATGTGGTCAACGAAATGGAATAGAAAATTCTACAAGTCTGTCCTTCCACAAAAGCAGCAAATAAGGTGGCAAAAACTCAAACAAATGTATGGGAATTCTGGAAACGAATTGAAAGTTTACAGCAATCAGGTGAATACCTAAGAATAAAAGCTGGATTTAGTAAGAGAGCTTTGTTGTGTTGTAGCTTACACTGGCCCCAACCCCCACTCCCCAGCATGGCAGCAGCATCAAAAACAATATCCCTCATTCCCTGTATAGGTTCCTGTCACTGGAGGTAGCAGATTAGACCTTATTCTCAAGAAGTGTGTTTATTTTGATTTGTCAGGTTGCTCCCTGAAGGACTGGTTCAAATGCCTTGCTTTTATTTTGCCTAATTTGGAACTCTCCCAAAGTGAAGATGGCAGCCTGGAAAGACATTTCAAGGTCAATGTATTAGTGGCTCATGCCCAGGGAAAGGAATAACATTTGGAGCAAACAGGAGACAAATTGAAAAGTTTCAGGAGGAAAGTCTAGGAAGTAAGATTCTTTGAGGGAGAATGAGGACTTTAAAGAGCTTCCACATATTCCTGGGAATCTAGAAGGCCATACACATGCCTAGGGCTGGGCATGTGCTTGAAAAGACTTGAGAGGGCCCTATGCTGTCACCTCTGCCTGACCTTCAGGGTCTGTGCACGCAGGAAGTGAAGGCTAAGGCATAGTTATAAACTGCATGGGTGAAAGTTGAAACGTGTGTCCCGACACAGAACACATCTGCAAATACTAGGAGGCTTTTTGTTGTTCAAAAGAAATCTTTTGAATCACTAGCTGACCACTAAGCTAACCAGAGACTTAGTGGTCACACCTGACAAAGAATACAAACGAAAAAACTAAAAACATAGTTCAAGAAAATAATAGGTTGGGCACAGTGGCTCACATCGGTAATCCCAGCACTTTGGGAGACTGAGGCAGGTGGATCACTTGAACCCAGGACTTCGAGACCAGCCTGGGCAACATGGCAAAACCCCATCTCTACAAAAAATACTAAAAATTAGCAGGGCCTGGTGGCACACACCTATAGTCCCAGCTGCCCAGGAGGCTGAGGTGGGAGGATCACCTGAACCTGGGAGGTCCAGGCTGTAGTGAGCCATAATCCTGCCATTGCACTCCAGCCTAGGTGACACAGTGGAGGAATAATTTTATTTCCAAACTTGCTACGTTATAAATAATATTCAAAATGTCCAGTTTTCAACAAAAATTACGAGGTATGCAAAGAAAGTATGGCTCATACATAGAAAAAAAATCTGCTAATAGAAACTGAGGAAAGCTCAGACATTGGACTTAACAGGCAAGACTTTAAGTCAATTATTTTCAAAAAGGTCAAAGGGCTAGAGGAAACCAGGAGAATGATATCTCACCAATATTGATAAAGAGACTGGAATTATAAAAAGGAACCAAATAGAAGTTCTGGAATTGAGAAGTACACAAATGAAAAATTCACTGGAAGGGTTCCAAAGCAGACTTAAAAAGGCAGAAGAAAAAAATCAGCAAACTTCAAGATAGGTCAATTGAGATTACCTATTCTGAGGTGCAGAAAGAAAACAACAACAACAACAACAGAGTTAACTGAGCCTAAGACACCTGCAGGATACCATCAAGTGTACCAACATACACCTAATAAGAATCACAGAAGAGTGAATGTAGAAGAAATTTTTAAAGAAACAATGGCTGAAAACATACTGAAAGACATTAATCTACACAAAGAGCTCAATGAATTACAATAGGGTCAACTCAAAGAGACACTCAGTGTGACATTGAGACACGTTACAATCATACTGTCCAAAGACAAAGCAAATCCTGAAAGCAGAAAGAGCCACTTGACACGTACAAGAAATCTTCAATAAGATTAATAGCCAATTTCTCATCCAACATTATGGAGGTGAGAAGGTAATGAGGTGACATATTCAGTGTGCTGAAAGGAAAATCTTGGGTGGGCTTGATACTTGTAGATATTCATCTGTGTCTGAGCATTGAAGAGTTAGGTATTTATCGTAGTCTTCACAGTCTGTGCTTGTTTGTATCTGTCCTTCTTGGGAAGGCTTTCCAGATATTTGAATGGCTTGGGTGTTGTGATCTAAGCTGTATCTGCTTAAGGATTCACCGCAAGCCCAATAACACTTTGGTTTTTTTTAGCCTCATAGAGGTACTGCCTTGATGGTCTTGAACAAGATTCAGGATTCTCTGGATTACCATACAGAGACTCTTGTTCTATTCCCTTACTGTCTCCCAAACAAAGGGAGTCCCTCTCTCTGTTCTAAGCCACCTGAAGCTGGGGGTGAAAGGACATAAGCACCTCTGTGGCCACCACCACTAGGACTGCACTGGGTCAGACCTGAAAGCCAGCATAGCACTGGATCTCACCCAAGGCCTTCTATTACCACTCCCTGGCTACTGCCTATGTCTGCTGAAGGCCCTGGGGCTCTACAATCGGCTGGTGGCAGAGCCAGCCAGGCTTGTGTCCTTCCCTTCAGAACAGCAAGTTCCTCTAGGCCCCAGGTGGGCCCAGAGGTGCCATCTGGAAGCCAGCAACTAGAGTAAAAAATCTTAGAAGTCTACCTGGTGTTCTATTATACTGCAGATGAGCTGGCACTGAATCCACAAGATGCAGTCCTTCCCTCTCTTCCTTCCCCTTTCCCAAGACAGAGGTGCCTCACTCCACGGCCACCCGCCACCACAGGCCACAGGGAGTGCTGTCAGACTGCTGCTGATGTTCCCTTAAGGCCCAGGGATTCTTCAACCAGCTTGTGGTGAATGCTGCCAGGCATGGGACTCACCCTCCAGGGCAGTGGGCTCCCTTCTGGCCCAGGGTAGGTCCATAAATGCCATCCAAGTCCTGGAATTGGCAGTCCCAAGAACCATGTGGTGCTTTACTCTCCTGTGGCTGAGCTAGTACCTAAGGTGTAAGACAAAGCCCACTTTACTTTTCCTTTCACTTTTCTCTAGCAAGAATCTCGCCTTTTAACCACCACAGCTGGGAATGTGCTGGCTGAATCTGAACCTGAAACCAGCAAGACTCAGAGTCTCACCCAAGGCCCTCAACATAGTACCCGGGTATCTCTGCTGGTTATTCAGGGACCAAGGGCTCCTCAGTTAACAGGCAATGAATGCAGCCAAGACTGAGTCCTTTCCTTCGAGGCAGTGGGTTCCCTTCCAGCCCAGGGGTGTCTAGAAATGTTGTCCAGGAACAAAAATCCTGAACAACATGCTAGCAGACTAAATCCAGCAGCATATTAAAAGCATTATACATCATGACCAAGTGAAATTTATCCCAGGAACGCAAGGGTCATTTAATATATGAAAATCAGGCTGAGTGCAGTGGCTCACTCACACCTGTAATTCCAGCACTTTGGGAGGCCGAGGTGGGCAGATCACCTGAGGTCAGAAGTTCAAGACCAGCCTGGCCAACATGGCGAAACCCTGTCTCTACTAAAAATACAAAACTTAGCCGGGCATGGTGGCGGGTGCCTGTAATCCCAGCTACTCGGGAGGCTGAGGCAGGAGAATTGCTGGCACCTGGAAGGCAGAGGTTGCAGTGAGCTGAGATCGTGCCACTGTACTCCAGCCTGAACAACAGAGCAAGACTCCATCTCAGAAAAACAAACAAACCAAAAAGATGTAATGCATGTAATTAATAAAATGAAAGGGGAAAATCACACATGATCATCTCAACTGATGCAGAAAAAGCATTTGAAAAAACCCAACATCCTTTCGTGATTGAAAAAACACTCAACGAAGTAAGACTAGAAGGAAAATGTCTCAACCTGCCAGAATGCATCTATGAATAAGCCACAGCTAATATTGCAGGTGGGAATGTGAAATAGTACAGCTGCAATACAAAAGAGTTTGGTGGTTCTTCAAAAAGTTAAACTTAACAGTTACCATGTGACTCAGCCATTTCATGCCTACATATAGACCCAAAACAAATTAAAAAACAAATATTCACACAAAAACTCATATATGGATGTTCATAGCAACATTATTCATAATAGCCAAAAAATGCAAACAACCCAAATGTCCATCAATTGATGAATAAATGAATAAAATGTGGGCCGGGTGCAGTGGCTCATGCCTGTAATCCCGGCACTTTGGGAGGCCGAGGCAGGCGGATCACCTGAGGTCAGGAGTTTGAGACCAGCCTGACCAACATGGTGAAACCCCGTCTCTACTAAAAATACAAGAATTAGCCAGCCGTGGTGGTGTGCACCTATAATTCCAGCTACTCGGGAGGCTGAGGCAAGAAATCGCCTGGACCTGGGAGGCAGAGGTTGCAGTGAGCTGAGATCATGCCACTGCACTACAGCATGGGTGACAGAGTGAGACTCTGTCTAAAAAAGAAAAAAAAAGAATAAAATGTGGTATATTCATATAATAAAACATTATTCATTCATAAGGAATGAAGTACAGATACATGCTACAATACAGATGGCCCTTGAAAACATTATGCTCAGAGAAAGAAGCCAGATACAGCTAGGCTACATATTGTATGATTCTATTTACAGTAGTACCCCCTTACCTTCAGGGGATGAATTTCAATACCCCTAGTGGATGCCTGAAACCACAATAGTCTCTAATCCTATTATACTATGTTTTTTCCTATGCATGCATACCTATGAAGTTTAATTTATAAATGAGGCACCATAAGAGATTAGCAGCAATAGCTAAGAATAAAATAGAACAATTAGTATACTATGCCAGCTTCTGTGAAGGGAGAGTTGCGTGAAAAACAACAACCATATGCCAGCAGCTCTGCTCTTCCACTTTGGGTCTTGATTAAGAGAAAGAAGTGTTGCTGGAACACAAGCACTGTGATACTGTGGCCATTGATCTGATAACTGAGAAGGCTGCTAAGTGACTAACAGGCAGGAAGTGTAGACAGCGTGGACCATGCTGGACAAAGGGAGCATTCACGTCCAGAGTGGGATGAAGTGGGATGGCGAGAGATTTCATCAGGCCACTTAGAATGATGTGCAATTGAAAACTCATATATTGTTTATTTCTGGAGTTTAATATTTTAGGACCATGGTTGACTGCAGGTAACTGAAACCACGGAAGGTGAAACCACAGATAAAGCGGGACTACTGTATTTAAAATGTCCAGAATAGGCAAGTTCATGAAGACAGAGACCAGTGGTTTCCAGGGTAGTCGGGAGAGCAGGAATGGGATGTGACTGCTTAAGAGATACAGAGTTTCTTTCTAGAGGGAGAACAACATTTTGGAACTGGTGGTGATGACTGCACAACTTCTGAATGTACTGGAAACCACTGCATTTGTACAATTTATTTATTTTTAATTTTTTTTTTTTTTTTTTGAGACAAAGTCTCCCAGGCTTTTTTTTTTTTTTTTTCGAGACAAGGTCACCCAGGCTGGAGTGCAGTGGCATGATCATGGCTCACTGCAACCTTGACCTACAGGGCTCAGGTGATCCTCCCACCTCAGCCTCCTAAGTAGCTAGGACTACAGGCACACGCCACCATGCCGGGCTAATTTTTGTAATTTTTGTAGGAATGGGGTTTCACCATGTTGCCCAGGCTGGTCTCAAACTTCTGGGCTCAAGTGATCTTCCTACCTTGGCCTCCTAAAGTGCTAGGATTATAGGCGTAAGCCACCGCCCCCAGCCTTGTACAATTTCAAATGGTTAAAATGATGAATTTTACATTGAATTTCACTTCATAGGAAATTTTTTTTAAAAACAACAAACCACTTTAACGGACACATAAATTCCCTGGGGGTCTCATTGTAATGCAGATTTGGGAGTCTGGCTGGGTCCTGAGACCCTGATCCCCTTGCTTCTCACCTGTGGCCACATTTTGAGAAGCAAGGCCACTCGAAGGGCCCCCACCTGTGTGAGTCAACCCCTGCTCCATCTGCCCCTGTAAATAAGGAGGGCTAAAGCACAGATGGCGGGTGTGGGTGTGTCCCCAGGTCTGAGCCTGAAGGGGGTTGCAGGCCTCCTCCAGGTATGGAAGTGGAGGGAGAGGGGGCTATAGTTAAACGGGTTACTCTGTCAGCAGACACAGAGGAGACCAAAAGAATAGTTTTTATTTCACATGAAGCTGAGGAAGGACGGCGAGAGGACAGGGCTGGCTCTGTGGGTGCTGCCTGGCAGGTGCACCACCTCCAGCTGCTAGGCTCCAGCTCCGGGGCTCAGAAGCCATCTGAAAGAAAGCAGAGGCCTCCAGTGAGCAAGCTGGGGCGCTGCAGGGTACCCGCCCCCGGGGTGTCCAGCAGTTCTTTCCCTTGCCTCCCTAGCCCCGGGGAACTCCTGTGCGCGGGACACAGGGATCAAGGAGACAGCAGAGTGCAACCCCATCCCTGCCTGATCAGTAGGGGTTACCCGTCTTCCGAGAGGGTTTTGGGGTGGAACAGGAGTGGCTCCTCAGGCGGAAATGAAAGGAGTTAAGGAACTCCAGTCGTGAGAAGGCCAATGAAGGAGGCAGTTTCTCCGCGCCGGGGTTGTGCTGAGATGGCATCTAGGGCTGGCTTTTCCAGAACCTCATTTGACACTGGGCGGCAGCGACCGGGTGGCGGGGGCCGGGGGCGGAGAGCAGGGATGATGCCATCCCTCTTCCGACCCCAGGGAGCGCTGGGGCCCTCCCTGCCTGCCAGGCCACACCTGTGCGGTGGAGCAGCCGTCCCTGTCTCGCCTGCCCAGCCCCAGATGACAGCAGCCCAGAGGCGGTCCTCTGCCACCTGCACTGCTCACCTTCTCCGAGGAGGTCGGGAGCGGGGCTGAAGGGTCCCGGGGGCAGGTTCCAGGCCAGCTCCTCCAGCAGGCCCAGCAGGCCTTTTACCTCTGTCCCCAGGTGATCCACGGTCTTCTCTACCATCTAGAGTGGGAAAGGGGGTAAAGTCGAGGACAGGAGTGGTTCCACGTTCTGCTTCATCAGCCAGGTCCTAAGAGCCACTGGCGATCCAGTGCGGTGCAATGAGAAAGGACTAGGCGCTGCGGGACCTGGGTTTCCTTCACTCAGGCTCCGCCCCTACCTGCCTCAGTTTCCCCAGATGACAATATCCTAGGGGGCTCGATCTCTAAGGTTCCTTCCTTTTTGGCACTCAGTCACAGGTTTGGATGAGGCGCCTGTAGAATACTCTCCCTTTTGGCCTTTGCAGACTGGAGCTCACATTCCTTTTGTTGTTCTGCCCCCTGGTGGTGTCTCTGCCAAATGACAAGTTTAGGATTCTGAAATTTACTCAGGGTTCTTAATGATTTTTCCCTGTGTGTGCCATGGATACCACTGGCAGTGTGGTGAAGCCTACAGACCTCTTCTCAGAATAACGCCTTAAATGCGAAAAATAAAACATATAGAATTACCAAGGGCACCAATTGCATTAAAATATTCAAGTATTAGGCCGGGCATGGTGGCTCATGCCTGTAAT